TTAACAGTGTATGAGCAAAGCACCAGAAAACCTAGCCAAGAGACTCTAAAGTGGGGACAGGATATGTGTCAGAATACTAGCATTTTATAAGACCCATATACAGATCCCTGAGATTCTTAGCAATCTACACTGATTTAACAAACTGGAGACAGGAGCAAGTCTTGCATATACTTCTAAAATCAGATACAACGTCATCCCCTTTAAGAAGCACATTCTCAGCTGGGCTCCGTGGTGCACACCTGTAATCCCAGCACTCAGGGAGGAAGAGGCGGGTGGTTTTCTGTGAGTTTGAGGCCAGCCTGGTCTACAAAGTGAGTCCAGGACAGGCAAGGCTATACAGAGAAACCCTATCTCAAAAATCCAAAAAAACAACAAAAAGTAGCACATTCTCCTTTCTGTAGCTCAATGATTTTCCACTTTTGAAAATATTTCTTCAAAGGAATAATGTAACTACAGAGACTTAGACATGAGTCATCATCAGACTTTAATCATCAAACTTAAAACGTGTAGGCTATTCTCCTGGAGGCTCAAAGACAAAGACCCAGTGGCGGAGGTAAAAAGAGAGGTACATGCAAGGACTGCTCACAGTGCCAGAGGCTACCATTATCTCACTCCATTCTGCAGGCTGGCAGAACGTCCAAACAGCAAGTCATGAGGGTGTGGTGACATTCGCCTATGTAATCCCAGCAGATTTCTGCAGCCTGTCTTCACACAAGCGAACTGGAGAGAAGGCTCAGTGGTTAAGAGCACCTGCTGCTCTACCAAAGGGCCAGAGTTCAGTTCACGGGGCCGCAGCAGGTGACTCAATGACTTGTAGGGGGATCTGACTCACTCTTTTTAAACAAAAAATCCACAGAGCAAACCAAGTAACTTGCTGAGCAGTACAAATTACATAAAACCCCTTCTGTTGTCACAGCAGGGTGAATCTCCTTTCCAAGGTTCGGAAATGTTCAGAAATGTCACAGTGGGATCCTAATATAGAACCAACAAACTCACCTACCCCAGACATGCTCGGGGAAGTAACTCAAACGCCCTATAACCAAATTACCAAGTGGGTGGTATCCGACCAGAGGGACTTAAGTTACATCAGAGCCAGGAGCATGTCTATTTCTTATTTCAATACCCTGGGCATACAACATTTTATAAATGGACGCCCTGCAAGCTCTCTTCTCATCAGTAAAAGGGGAAAAAAAAAATCAGGCTACTTTGGGGGACTGTTGGGAGAATTAAATGCGATGTTAAGTAATACTGTGTTCAAGACGCAGTCAGCCTCCAGAAAACATTCCACCTTGCCAACCCAGGAGGAACAGGAGCAAAGATGCCCTACATCAGTTATGGAAAACAGGCCCAGCAGGGACCAGAGACCCAGACAAGAGCCAGAGAAACGGGGCTGTCACCACGGAAAACACAGAGAAAGACAGTCAGGGGAACGTAGGAAAAGAGTAGCATTCAGGCTGCAATCGTGGCCCAGACACAGATCATGTCGACAGGAGGGAGGAGAGAGGGCAGGCCCAGCGCTGGGGCAAGAAGGAAGAGGTGGTGAGGCCGGGGAGAGGGGAGGGAGAGGAGTTAGGGCTCGGCGTGACACGGGGACTGGAGGAGAGTTCAGGCCTGACGTGACATGGGGAAGGGAGAGGCGACAGGGCCGGCGCGCAGGCAGGTGGGGTGGCGGCCCCGGACACCGCGTGTCGGGGAGAAGGGAGCGCAGAACAGGCCGCAGGCCCGGGGCGAGGAGGGGCGAAGGGCCGCAAAGCGAAGCGCGACCGCCGGCCACTCGCGTCCTTACCAGCCGGCAGCGCTTCTTCCGGCGATCCGAGTGGACCTTGGACCGACCCAGACACCTAGCCAGGAAAATCGGGACTCTCAAGGCAGAGTTCTCGCGATAGGATTGCCTTCCTGCCACGCCTCTCGGTAGTGTTCTGACAGTTTCGCGAGATTTCCTTCCGCGACTGCGCAAAAATGTCTTTAGGGCCTCAGCGTGGAGGCGCGCACCAGCTTTTGCTGTCCTTCATCTGGGTCCTTTTCATGCCTCTCAGTGAGTCAATTAAGTATTCTGAAGATGTGCTATGCTGAATGAAGAACTATGCCAGGTAGGCCTCTCACACAAAATGTTCTCACAGGTAGATTTTATTTAACTGTAACGTTCCTATGCAAGAATACACGTCAGAAGACACAAAAGGCCGTATCTCGCATGACTCCGTTATTACACAAATCAAGGCAAGCCCTTTAAAAAGAAACATTTTGAATTGATACAAACTAGTTGTGCATATCTGTGAGATACACTGTTAACTTAAAATGCATGGAAACAATGTGTGTGGGGGCTGGGTGTGGGTAACTGCCTTATTTATTATTTCTTTGTATTAATAGTATAGAAAATCAACTAATTATCTTTGAAATAGTTAATCTGGGTGTGGTAGCACCCGGTTGCAATCCTAGCACGACGGAGGAGGGAAGGAGCAGGATGGGTGTTCAAGACCAGCCTCCACTACTGAGACTTTGAGAAAAGTGGGAGACAGAGATATCAGATGATTATAATCAGTACAGTTGTCCTGCTGTACCTTCGAATATAAACTATTTCTCCTACCCAACTCTACCCTGGTTGAGAGGGCAGTCAAATTCTCAAGTACAGAAAAGAAAATGATGCATAGCAGGCAGGGCTGAGTGGAGAGTTAGTGTCATTTAATAAGTTTCCTTATAGGGGCCTGAGAGAGGTGCTCAGGGATTAAAAGCACCTTCTGCTCTTGCAGGTTCCCCACACCTGGCTCACAACCATCCATAACTCCTGTCCCAAAGCCTTCTGACCACCGAGGGCACCACTCATGCACATTTATATACACAGGCAAAACAGTCATGCAAATGAGCAAATGAACTATTTTTTCCTTTGGGGCTTGTGGTGGTTTGAATATAAAGGTTAGGAGGTCAGTGTCCTTGTTGGAGTAGGTATGGCTTTGTTGGAGGTAGTATGTCACTAGGGGTGGGCTTTGAGGCCTCAGAAGCCCAAGCCAGGCCCAGTGGCTTAGTCTTTCTTCCTACTGCCTGTGGATCTGCTTGTAGAACTCAGCTACTTCTGCCTGCATGCCACCATGCTTCCTGCCATAATACTGGACTCAAAGAGTCGCTGTGGTCATGGTGTCCCTTCACAGCAATAGAACAGTGACTAAGAAGAGGCTGATGGAAAGCTCTGAAGCTGGAGAGAGGTGACAGGCGCAGAACAGCCTGATATTTTTATCTCCACTGAGTGAACACTTAAAAATGGTGGGTGATACATTATAACTTAGGGAAAACATGCTACATTTAATATATATATATATATATATATATATATATATATATATATATATATAGTAAGTAGCTGTCCGAATTGATAGCACTGTTTCTAGTCCGTCTACTTTAGGTGGTCTGCCTAACACAGGTAACTGATCCTAGAGCTAGCCCCTGCCACCCACACAAGTCTGGCCTCTGAGTTCCCCGTAGGACTGCATGAGGTCTGGCGCGCACCTTCTCTCGCTGTCTCTAACCTCTTCTGACCTCATGCAAGCACAGGGAGATACGGGGACATGATGGAGAGGATGTGCCTAAAGAGGTAGAAGGAAGGATAAATGTGAGTACCCGGGGCAGAGAAGTTCAGTGTCATTGTGAACACACATGCTCTTTTCCATTGTAAACCATAAACAACACAGGCAAATGTTTGTTTGCTTTATAACATCCATTAAATTAATACAAACATAATTGGCAAATTTATTTGTTGGTTTATTTATTTTAGTTTTTTGAGACAAGATTTCTCTGTGTAGCCCTGGCTGTTCTGGAACTCCCGTGGTAGACCTGGCTGGCCTTGAGATCTACCTGCCTCTGCCTTCCAAGCTTTAGGATTATAGGCTACCTCTACCCAACCTGTAACTGGTAAATTTAAATCATACAAATATTCAAATGTTGCTCAACCCTGGGGCCCACTGGGAGCCCATTTACATTATCCAGCCTTCGACAGCACAGGCCTTTACTGGGTTATCCCGCTCCACCACCCTATAGGTGCAGGTCTCTTTGTGGAATTCTTCACGACACTTCTGTTTGTCATAGGACACCGGTATAGGAATTCTGTCAATGAGACAAGACAAAGCTGTTAGAATGAGGGGAAAAACGCTGATTCGCCCAGCCCGGCCGATCAGACATGCTCTGGCCAACAAGCAGACTACATACTTCCACTTGTCTGGGGCCTCCCTTCCCCAGCGTAAGGGTGTCACCTGGCTGGAAGGCCTGAAGCGCAGGCTGCTGGCGTCTATACCTGCCTGCCGTGGACTCACAGAGACCATCCCTAACCTGAGTTCCTCATTCTACCCTGCAAGCACTGAAGGATGCTGGGAAGTTCTGACAGGCTCAGGGACCAACCGGGTTAATCTGGGACAGGGTACTCACCTGGCCCTTCCCACCCTCCCTGTTCAGGAGTGGTCAGTAATACTGGTGCTAGACTGTGGGAAGAGAAGGTTGTCCCAGCCCTGTGTGGTGTCTGGTTAAAAGAGCAGCTTAGCTAACCAACAGGAGCAGAGGGCCATCTCAGGCCAGGGTCATGGATCTAATGGAAACAATCCTTTCTGGGAAAACCCACCTGCACATGTAAGGGGCACACACAACTTTAGGAGTCACTACCTTAAAAGCACATCTATGGGCTTGAGGTGTAAATTGCCCTGCCAACATGATGGCATGGAGCTATATTTGCAGCACTTGGGAGGTAGAGGCAGGAAGATCAGAAGTTTGAAACCAGCCTGAGCTACATAGTAATTCTGAGGCCAGGCTAGGCTGCAGGAGACCATGTCCCAGAAAACAAAGATAAGGGCTAGAGAAATGTGGTTGGTGGTTAAAAGCAACTTCCACTCCTTGAGAGGATGGGAGTTTAGCTCTCAGCACCCATCTCCATTGACTCACAAGTGTCTACAACTCCAGCTCTAGGGAGCCAGTATCTTCTTTTGGCTTTCATTTGCATGTATGTGCATTTACATCCACACAGACATACATATACGTATAAATAAATAATAAATATTTTTAAAACCAAATAATAAATAAACCACTATGTCCAGAGTATATAAAAGCAGCCAAGCCATTTCAGTGTTCCCTGTAACAATGTCACCTTATTGAAGAAAACCCAGAATTTTATCCTAAAGAAAAAAGACATTTCAGTCCTCTTCCCAAGTTATTTGAAACCATTCATTGATCTCAATTTTCTGGTTCCTAGGACATCTGAATTTGCAGCCCTCCAGAGGTGATGGCAGGAAGTTCTCTCATAGCTGACTAGAACACTGAGCACTCAACCCAAGCCCACATGGCCCAAGCCCATGGTAACATTGTCCTGTGAGTGAAAGCCACCAGTGACATCATGCCTTTGGCTCTAAGATTCTAGTTTGATTCCTTTTAAGACGAACATCTGGTTACTTGTAGTATATAATATTTTTGAAGACGTTTGATGATATAGATGGTATTAATGCAAAAATATTAATTAAGTAAAAAAAAAAAATAGAGCACCAAATTGTAATATAACCAGTAACGGTGGTATACACCTTTAATCCCAACACTTGAGAGGAGGAAGCAGGAGGTTTCCAAGATCAAGAGCAGCCTGAGTATATAGAGTGTGTTGCATCGCAAAAAAAAAAAAAAAAATTAAGTCTAATATAATTTGCAAATTAAGTTTTGAAATTTAGTTGTAAAAGAAAAATGTAGAAAAAGAAATAGAAAGCTAGGCAGGGTGGCTCACACCCTCTAATCCCAGTACTGGGAGGCAGGGGCAGGCGGATCTCTGTGAGTTCAAGGCCAGCCTATTCTACAAAGTGAGTCCAGGACAGCCAAGACTATACTGAGAAACCCTGACTTGAAAAACCAAAAAAGAAAAAGAGGAGGAGGAGAGGAAGAGGAAGGAGGAGGAGAAAGAGGAGAAGGAGAAGAAGAAATAGTAGCAGTAGTCGTGGTGGTTTGGAATAACATTGAGAAATGAGCACTTTCCCCCTGGGTGGAACAGTGCCAAATGGGACAGGTGTTATAGAAGGAAAGGGGGGGGGTTGAGGTTCGCCAAGTGCCAACCTCTGCCGGATTCAAGAGGATAGACCAAGCATAGAGAATATCTTAAATCTTATTGGGTATATGAATTTATGTACAGAATCTCATTTAGTTCTCATAGCAACGTGGAACTAAGCCACAAAGAGACTCAAAGCTTTACTATGGCACACACAGCTAATAAGAGGGAATGAGAGTCACACTGGAGCTGCTCTGGCTCCAGCATCAGGGTCCTCCCACCTCACTACCAGCATCAACCTCACTCTTTTCCCCTGGATCCATTGGCAACCACAGGTCCTTGGTAAAGTTCAGATACACAGGCAAGTTTGGAAAATGCTACTTTACACAATGCCTCTGGGGAGCTGGCGTATAGCTCAGTGGTACAGGGGTGGCTCACCACGTATGAGACCGTGGGTTTAATCCTAGCACTGCTAAAACAAACATTCCTGTCCGTGCATGACTCGGGTGGCCGAAGAGGACAAACAGGAATGTGTCCTGATGCACTTGGGAGGCTGGGAGCAGAGAGGTTGGTGTGGCCAGCGCTGCAGGTTCTCTGTGGTTCATTTGTTCAAAGATTCCACCTTCAGTACAACAACCCAGCAGAAACCACCTGCACAACCCCTGCTGTGCCCTGGGCTCGACTCCACAGAAGAGCACCACAGGGTTAGCACACAGGAACCACATGGGTCTTCCCTCAGCCTCTCTCAGACCACACCTGCTCTTGCTAACACATAAGGGAAAGCCTACAGTGACCACCAGACCAGTTTCTAGAGTAGAACACTGAATAAACTTGCTTGTTATAGGAACCTGTGTGGATATGAGGTTTAAGAATAAAGATGAAAAAATATTTAAAATTAAAAAAAATAATAAAGATGATAGCCAAGTGTAATCCTAGCACTTGGGGGAGGCAGAGACAGGCTGACCCCTGTAAGTTCAAGGCCAGCCTGGTCTAACAGTGAATCCAGGACAGTCCAGGCTACACAGAGAGAAACCCTGTCTCAAAAAACAAAATAAATAAATAGACTAAAATTATACTGAGCTGAGAAACCCTGACTCAAAAAACCAAATAAATAACTAGACTGAAATTAAACTGAGCTCTGAGGTAGAAGCGAACAACCGCCCATTAGTGAAAGGGTGAGTGTAAGATCTTATATGCATACCCGGGGTATCACGAGCCTGGAAGGAAAGGAAACACTAACACACGACAGCGTGTGTAAACTTTGGAAACTGTTCTCTGTGAAGGAAAGTGATCTTCAGAGGACAAATACTATACGATTGGTTCTACTTGCACAAGGTTTTACAGCAGTCACCTTCATAAGAAACAGCAGGTGAATGCTGTCTAGGGCCCAACAGAGACACTGAGGAGCATGTGGGGCCAGAGGGCATTTGGGAAACCTCTGAGCCTATGTTCAATTTTCCTGTGAATCTAAAATTGCTCTTTGGGTTTGAGATACAACTCAGTGGTAGAGTGCTTGCTTAGCAACTGTGAAGTCCTACATTCAATCTTGAGCACACACGTGCAACACACACACACTAAAGAAAAAGAAAGAGTGAAATGGGCAACGGTGCTCTAAAAGCAAACAAACAGCAATAAAAAGGGACCCCTGAGCTAGTTGAGCAGGTACAAGGGTTTAACATACAAACTGCTGGAACAAACAAAGGTGGAAGAGAGAATGACTACTGAAATTGCCCTCTGACCTCCACACACACTCATCATAAATATGCACTCCCTTCCCCACAACACACCAAAATTTAAAAATACACAGGGCTGTAACCCAGTTGGTAGAGTGCTTGCCTAGCATGCATGAAGTTCTGAGTGCAATCCCCAGCACAGCATAAAACCAAGTATGGTGATCCGTGCCTGAAACCCCAATGTTTGGGAGATGGAAGATCAGGAGTTTAAGGTCCCATCAATTACAAAGTAACTTTGAGGTCAGCCAGGGCTAGTCAAGACCCTTTCTCAAAACAAACAACAAAACCATCGGCACAGTGGCGCTGCCTGTTACTCCAGTGTTGAGCTCCAGCAGTGCCCTGCCTCAAGTTACTCCATATTATGCAGCACAGTGGTTGTCAGGCCAGGCCTTACTGCAGAAGAACCACTTTATAAGGGGCATGTCCTTCCGTTTGTGTTCAGAGCGGACAGTAGGATGCCTTTTCACTCGCCAGGCCTGCAAACAGCACCATCCACCTAGCACCACCCTCAAGACCCGCACTGCTGAGCAACTTAAAAATTAAAAGGATTCTACCCCAGGGGCTCACGGAAGTGTGGAAAGAGAGAGCTGACTCCAGAGAGTTGTTCTCCAGCTCCGCATTTGCCACTCTGTCCTTATCTCTCACACACATACGCATGCATACACTACTCATGTTTTGTTTTAAGGGGAAGGACCAAAAGAGAACTCCTGACTGTCCCAGGGTGTCAGTCCCTGGTGCTGAAGCAGCTGACCACCCCTTCACATGCTAGTCCGTCCAGACCAGTTCTGTATTCAGCCTGTATGGCCTCAGTAGTCCAACGCCTCAACTGGGCAGCTCAGCTTGACCCTGAGCTTCCGCTGAGATGCGTCTCCAACAGCTTCTTTTTGCATCTCTACCATATTCCTGCCTGCCTCCAGCTCTGTTCCAACACGTCCGATTCTGCTGCACTGTCAGTCTTTTATAGCCGTTTATTGTAATCTACATAGAATATAGATTTACTATGTGATGTGTAAAATATGATCTGAGAGTTAATGGTAGTAATTAAAGTTGGAATTAAAAACTCTGTGCCAGTGGTTAGCTATCATGCGACTGCTTGGCAAATTGTAGCCCCCAAACCAAACCAGACACACACTTAAATAAATGTAAGTTTTTGTTAAAAATAAATCAATGTAGCTTATAAATTTGCTATTATTCAGTAAAATTGTATGGATGAGATACAAACCTGTCTGTCTATGCTTCTCACGCAGTTCTCACAAAAAAAGAGACTGCTCATCCAGCTCACAAGACTGAGGCAGCAGGAGCAGCCTTGGAATGTGAAGGCAAGACCACCTAAGGAGACTTTGTCTCAAAACCAAACATAAACCAAACCAAAGCAAGCAGAAGCCCTGAGGAGCGGCTGTCTGGGACAGGCCCAGACCAGTGGTTGAGACTTACTGATTGCAGCAGTGAACTGATTTTTCTTCACAGTAACACCTGTTACAGTTCTTCACCCAGAAAGAGAACAGGGGGTGTTTTTCACCATCAGCATCCACACACTCTAAAACGATGCAAATCCCCAAGTCACACAATGGGAACCAAGTCTGTCACTTACAGCTGCTGGCATGTGACGGCAGCTGCCGTAAATGTGTCGGAAGCAATGCTTTTGTGTTCAAAGTGGCTAAAGTCCAGCACACCACAGTCCTGTAGTCCATGCCTCTGATAATATTGTTGTTTGTTTGGCTGGTTTTGGCTTTGGTTTTCTCTAGACAAAACATTCCTATGTAGCCCTGGTTAGGTTGATCTCTGACTCAGATTCAACTGCTTCTGCTGGGATTAAGGGCCTGAGCTACCATGGCAGCATGCCTAAACAAGCTGAAATCCTTCTGGATTTCATGTCAGAACAGACACTGGGGAATAATAAGACCTTCCTTTTTATCCTACTAGCTATTAGGAGCTGCTGGCAGCAGGGGCTCAGCTTGTTTCCTCTGGCTGTCCTAAATAAGCCCCTCACTTCTCCACTGGTGTTGCTCTATGTCAGTGATTCTCAACGCTGGGTGCACACGTGAAGCACTGTGGGTACTTAAAAATCACCCAGGCTGGGGTGTAGTTCAGTGGCAGAACATGTATTTGGAATGTATAAAGCCCTGGGTTCAATCCCGAAGCAGCAAAACAAATAAACAAACCCTGTGTGCCTGACCTTCGAAGAAGACAGTGAAATCAGTCTGTGGAGCCCCGACTGCCTTGTTTACCTTGGATGGTTTTGTTTTTTTTTTTTTTTTTTGTTTTTTTTTTTTTTTTGGGGGGGGGGGGGTCATGCAGCAGATATTCCAAACAGGTATTGAACTTCCTGGGTGCTTTTTTAAAAAAAAATTTTTTTTTTTAATGTATGTGAATGTTTCTCTTGCATGTATTCAAGGCTAGTGTATCTTCTCTACAGAGACCAGAAGAGGGTGCCAGATGCCTAGGAACTGGAATTCCCAACAGTTGTAAAACTGCCATGTGCATGCTGGGAGTGGAACTTGGGTCTTCTATAAGAGCAGCCAGTGTTTTTTACTACTAAGAATCTCCCCAGGCCCCACATCAGACTCTTAACCCTCCTGTCTCTGCCTCTCCAGCGCAGGGATTACCAGGATGTGCCGCCACGTTTGCTTCCTGCGGTGCTGGGACTGAACACATCACCTCCTCCTTTCTAGGCACGCACCCTACCAAGAGAGCTGCAGCCCAGCCCTCCGCGTTGCTTTTTTAAAATGCTCATCCAGGGTAAGAACTGCTGCCTTAGAGTCACGTGAGCCAAGTGTGCTCCAAGGGCAACAGCAGGCACAACCTTCTGGAGCTGCTGAATACCAGACTTTCATACCTGCTTTCAGAACTGGTGAACCACACTGTCCTGGGCTAAGGCATGTGGCTTAGGGGTGTCATACTTAGTTTTAGTTGTCAGCTTGTACAGCCCAACGTCACTGGAGGAGCACCATCTAGTTCGTGCTTGAGTTTCCCCCTGACTTCTCTCAACAATGGACTGTGGCCTACAAGTGAAAAGCAAATAAATCCGTTCCTTCCCTAAATTTGTTTTATTTTCGTGTTTCATCACAGCAACAGAAGGAAACTAGTACAGTATTAAAGTGCTTGTTTGGTATGTATGAGAGTCTCCAGCACCACTCCCAGCAAACGCACACACATACACACGAATTACAGGGATGATCATGTCCATTAAATTTTGAATGCTGGGAGTGGAGAGATGGCTCAGCAGTTAAGAACACTGGCTGCTCTTCCAGATGTCCTGAGTTCAATTCCCAGCCCCACATGGTGGCTCCCAGCCGCCTAAAGTGGGAACTGATGCCCTCTTCTGGCACACAGGTGTACATGCAAACAGAGCATTCATACATAGAATACATACATAAATCTTTTTTAACATTAATAATGCTGCTTCTTAACTCTGACCGTATGTGAAAGTGAGAGAGCATTTAATGTTCTAATTCAGCCCCCAGAGAGTTTTATTCAGCTGTTCTTAAATGGGGCCTGGCAATTTTTGAAGCTCTCTAGGCAATCTCATCTAGTTGGAAAACAACCTTCTTAACTGCTTCTGGACCTGCCCAAGTCCTTCCCGTGTATACTCCAAGACTTCCCCATCTGCCATATATACTAGGTCCTATCTACAGGTATCTACCAAGCTGGAATGGCACCAAAAGTGCTGGGAAAAACAGGACTTACCACTAGGCGGTCCCTGACGGTTCTCAAAAAAGCAGCCTGCATTGCATGCCGTCACCAAGGTGGCAAGGAGTAGAAGGCTGCCCAGCCGAGCTTTCTGCAATGCAGGGAATGGAGAATGAGTGATTCCTGAGGGGCATTCTTGCCTGACTGGCCTGTGAGAGTCCGGCCGAGTTCTGGCGGGAAGAGACGTGAAACAACTGCAGGTACCCATCTCAGCCAGGCGCTAAGACACACATCAGTCACGCAAAAAGAAAAACCCTAGGAAGGTTTGTCATGAGGCGAAATTAAAAAAAAAAAAAAAAAAAACAATAGCGTGAAGCCGGTGCCCCAGAGAGAGTTCCAGGACAGCCAGGGCTACACAGAGAAACCCTGTCTCAAGAACACAAACAAACAAAAAACACTAACACGAACCCAGAGGCAAGCAAAATACAGCAGGAGGCCTGCTGGAGACGGGTTTGCAGGCGATATGGTTAGCATCGGAGTGAAACCAAGACCGTGTGACCAGGAACTTGAGGTGTAGCCACCGTGATACAGAACTTCCAGGACCAGCCACCCCTCTGGTGTGCAGAGAGTTTGGAATCCACAGTCCCAAAGCAGGAAACTGAGCATGTCATCTCTTTTGAGAGGAGTTGAATAAATGAACAGAGTTTAGCATGGTATTCTTGGTGTCCTTTTAAAAAAGAAGATAAGGTGAGGATTGATGATAGCAAATGGCTAGAGGTTGGGAAAATAGCTCAGTTGGTAGAGTACAGGCCTAGCAAACATGAAGCCATTAATTCAATGCCTAGCTACACAGAAACCCAACATCATTGTGGCACTGGGAAACTAAAACATAGCCACATTGTTATACATCGTCATTAAGCCTCTGTACCTTGTAAGTTTCTGTTTCCTGAGCTTAATGGTATCCTGCAAACCATTTCAGCCTAAGTGAACTTGTGACCCCACGCTGTAAGGCCCCCCTCGCTAAACTCCTGAACTTGCGACATATGATCGCCCTTTTGTCTTAGGAAAGTGTGTCTTCTCAGATAACCTGATGCCTCCCCTTCCACATGATGTATTCTTGCACTTATCTACCCCACAGGCAACCTTGAGCCTTGAGTCCCCCACTCTCCTGTCCAGGTGCTAACAGCCAATTATCTCTATAGCTATTTCCTATCAACCTTCCCCAGGAGAGGGACCTCAAAAGCCAGTGAGGGGCTGCTCTCTAAAATCCAGACTTTGGGAGAGGCAGCCAGCTGGCCAGTTTTAGATACAGCTTACTTTAATCAGACAGTCGTGGAGTTGGTCTTCCCCCGCCTCAGGCCCTAACAGCACATGCTTCTAACCCGAAAACCCCAGAGATGGAAGCAAGAACATCAGTAGTTCAAGATCATCCTGGCAACATAGCCTGGGCTACACGGTCCTGTCTCAGAAAAGCACTAACATTCATCATGAAGAGGTGGAGCCTGAAGTGGTTCCTTTCTGTTGGAAGAATAAAAAGACAAAACAGGAAACTGAGGCTGAGGACAAGATGCAGACGTGTTACTCAGATCAGCACTGTCTTTGAGCTGAGTGGAGATCTGTGGAGAGGGGCTTTCAGGCAGATGGCACCGCATGCTACTGTAAGCAGCCAGCTGCAGAGGAGGAAGCTTGCTACTGCCACAGCCCCTGTGCCTCTCAGCACCCGAAATGTCTGCCTACCCCATGCAGCTTGGCATGCTCGTGTCCTGACCTCACATGTCCTTAGACACAGCTTCTAACCTGGCACCATTTCAAGGACGTCAGCACAGCAGCCAGCAGAGCCCACTGGGCTGGAGATGCCGGTGGGGGTGGCTGGCTGTGGGGCTGGGTGTAGGAAGGTTGTACTCGGAGCCTCATCACCAGCCGCAGCAGGGCCTTTCTGAGCAGCAACTCTTCCGCGCTGCCCGGCCTTGTTCTGGGAGGCCCAGGAGCTCTTGTGCTGGGCGCTGGTCCTCCTTGCCCCGTTTGACATGAAAAGGTCATCTCCACCTCCCATATAGTTTTTCCTGTGTCCCCTCTGCCCTAGTTCTTCCTCTTTGTATACTTCTCAGGGGTTGCTTCAGGTTTGATGGGGAAGCTATATTCTGTATTAAGATAATTTAAATGTTTTCTTAAAGGACTCACAGTGTAAATTTTACAATAAGATCATAAAGTAATTATGTACAAATTGTGTCATTTTAAGGATAAAGACATTTGGATGTTTAAATACATAAATAAAGCTGAGAAGATATCAAATTTTAAAAATAACATGAACTGATTTCAGTGTAACAATGAAAAAGTTAAGGTCATAGTAGAAAAGTAGAAAAGGCAATAACAACACACACTTATGAAGACAGGAAAAGGATCAATAAACACCTGGAAATTCAACTTAACCAAAAGCAAAAGAAATGTGAATGTAGATAGAAGGAAGATGAGAACCACCGTGTCATTTAGAATCCACAGACAGAAACAGGCCCATAGCACAAAGGGCAATTTGGAACAATTTGAAAGTGTAACTTAAGACCACTCACACTTTGAAATTCACATTTTTCACTTCTAACATGACCTTAAGAACAGCACAGAGGTGAAGACAGACTCCTGACAAGGCAGCCCAGCTCACTGAAGATGGGAAACCATGCAACACCCACGAATAGAGCTGACTGAGAACACAGTGACTCACAATATGACCCAAACAGAACAGGAACCCATGAACTGAGAGAGAGAAGGGAGAGGCAGGAGCGTCGGCACTGCGACCCGAAAGTCTGCAGACTGCACTACAGCCCAGGTGCTGTGATGCCTGTGACAGAAAGAGATGCCCTTTGTCACTGTGGTTGTGACCCCTTTCTTCACCAGGCCCTTCCTCTTTCCTTCTACCATGAAAACTCTAAAGAAATACATGCGTTTTTTCCAAAAGAAGGGAGTGAACGACGGAAAGAAAAGAAAAAGAGCCTTGTGTGGTGGCTGGCTTATTTCATTCCAGCATTGGAAGACAGTGACAGAAGGATCTCTTGAGTTTGAAGCCTGTCTGGTCTACATAGTGACGACAGGACTACATAAAGAGGTGACCCCCCTCCCCCACAAAAAAAAGCAGAGAGGGAAAACCTACATAAAATTTTCAATATATGTCATACACACTGATATTTAATAGGCACTTGTTCTTTGTGTTTTAGTCTTTTTTCTTCCATGATCTTTAGCTCAAAAGCTCTGTATTTATTTGACTCCCAAACCACCTTGATGACAGAATTTCTGCTCCCTTAGATGGAAAGAAAACTATTTCATGCTAATCACAGAACTCTAGACTTGTGTTTTACTGAGTCATGGAACAAGACTGAGACACTGTGGTATGGAGCCCAAATATGATAACAGGGTGTTGCAAGATATTTGATGACACCGTGACCCCCAAGATTGTGTTATTTACTGGAAATACCTGTTTCTAGTTGTGGTGTGCCTCAGCCCTAGCACATACCTTTAATCCAAGAGCTTTCTGCTTGAGCATTGTAATGGGATTAAATAAAGTTAACCCTAGGTCAAGAGCAAGCAACTGTTTGACAGGAAGTGAACATAGGAAAAAAAACATAGTGAGTAGGAGGAAGTCAGGAGGATGGATAGAGGGACACACAGGAAGTAGGAGGAGACATTCAATTTGAGGTGGCATGGGGAAGGAGAGCTTCACCTTTCGGAGTATCAGCTGAGGAGGAAGGTCAGCTGGTACTTTCTCTGCCTCTCTGAGCTAGCATGTTTCACCCCAGCATCTGGCTCCCGAGTCTTTATAGGTAAAATCGAATATTTGAGATTTTGTTAAAAATAACAACAGGGTAAATCAAATGATGCTTTTTTGAATCATCTCTTCCTCCCTCCCTGGGTGCTTCCCTCCCTCCTTCTGTCACTCCGTCTCTCTCTCTCTACCGTCTCTCTTCTCCTCATTCCCCACTTCCAGTCCTATTCCTCACCCCTTCACCCTTCCTTTCCCTCCCTCTCTTCATCTCTTCCTCTTGCCTTTGTAAAAAAAAAAAAAAAAAAAAAAAAAAAAAGGGGTTTTCTCTTAGAAAGTCTCACATTCCCTGAGCTCAGACAGGACTGATGTGTCTCCTGCTCTCCTGTGGGAGCTCCACAGGTAAAGTGATCCACACTGGCTGCTCACTGCAGCTTTCATGAGCTCAGGGAGACCCCGATGAAATGCGTGAAGATTCTGCTTCAGTGTGTCTTCAGATTGTGATCAAAGTTCCCAGGTGATGCTGAGACCCTCGTCTGAGGACCAGGCCTGAGGAGGAGGCTCCAAAGTCTCCTCTCTTCACCGCATTCTACTCTGCCCTGCCTCCCTTGCTGCAGACACTACCGTGTGCCCAACACATGCAGGCCCAGGAGAGTAAAGGAAACTAGCTTTGCCAGGGCTTTCCAGGTAGTGTGGCTTCCTGACCAGGTTGGGGGAAGCAGAGTGGCACTGCCCCCTGAACTGTGTCTGCTTTGTTACACAGCTGTCCCTGGAAAGGAGGGTCAGCTCTCCATTACCGAGGGTCGGGGTCTTCAGGATCTTAGCCAGGGAAGGGCTACTGCAGCTGCCTGAGTTCAATCCCAGGCCTCACGGAAGGGGAGTGGGAGGACGGGTCTGAGGAAGATAGGGAGCACACCGCTTAACAGTGATCTACGTCTCCTAGCCCTGTTTGAGGAGGGTTTCACAGAGTACACTTGTCCTGAGCTGAGGCCAGGGTCCCTTCCTGAGGCCCTCTCCATCCTCACGTGGTCCTCCTCACCAGCTCCTGCTTCCTTCCTCGTGTCCTCCTGTGGGAAGCCCCATTCCTTCCCTGATTCTGGCTTGTAGAAAAGATACTTTAAGAAGAGATCAGTCTTCAACTAAAGACAGAAAGGAGCCCTATGTATGAAATTAGTCACGTACCATTGTGGCAAGCAGGACTCCTTACAGGCAGGTCTCTCCAGCAAAGTGTCAGCAAGTGCTAGCTCCCTATTTATACAGGCAAGAATGACCAAACCTGCATATTCTTGGGATGATTCCCAGAACATATTGGTTATTTACTGAGGGCTGACCAGGAAGTTATGATTTCTCCTGATTTATGAATCTCTCAGATAACAAGCTTCCACCTTACTGATGGATATGTTTACCATTTTCCTCACCCTTGACAAGCTGCTGCCCTTGCTGTGAGAGAGCAGAGAAAGACCTTTCCCTGGAGCCTTTATCCTGCACTGGCAGACTGCTACCCCCCCCAACCCATGAGCTTTCCTGATCCATGGACAAAGAAATGGGCCTCACATCCACCATGTACCGTGTGGGAAGGCATAAGCTTTGTCCAATAGCCTGGCTGCCTAAGGGGCGCAGGCCCAGGAGGTACTGGCCTTCGGGTCCAGAACGGGAAAGCACAAGCACACGGAGCCATCTTGCATGGTAGGGATGAGCTGCACCCAGCTAGGTGTCTTTTAACCAGCCACAGGCTCCCATTTCTCTGACTTACTCACATTCTCCTGAACGCTCAGTCTTTGCTCTGCCTCCTCAAACAAGCCTTCCTTCTCTGTTCAGCAGTGATCTCCTGCCTGGGAAACAGCACGGAGTGCCCCTGAACACATGAACTCGGGGTGCCTCATAATGCAGCAGTCCCGCTCTGAGGACCCGCCTCACTCCCGAAGGTTTACTGCAGCACTACTCACTGTTGCCACAGGATGGAGTGCCCCTGTGGCCAC